CCCCAAAGGAACCCTACAACCATTAACAGTCATTCCTCAATCCCCCTTTTCCCTGCTCTTGGCAACAACTAATCTACTTTTCTGTCTCTAGGGATTTGCCTGTTCTGGACATTTCATCTGAATGGAGCCATGCAGTATATGGTCTTTTGTGTCTGGCTTCTTTCACTTAGCATTATGTTTTCAAGGCTCATCCATGTTGTAGCATGTATTAGCAGTTTATTCCTTTTTATGGCTGACAAATATTCCATTGTATGGATAAACCACATTTTATTTATCCAGTCACAAACATACACAGTTGAGGACATTTGGGTTGTTGCCACTTTTTGGTTATTAGGGATAATGCTACGATGGACATTTGTGTACAAGTTTTTATGTTCAATAGCTTCTTGCTACTCCTCCAGTAAAGACTTAAATCTCAACACAACCTCCCAGGCTCCACATGGCCTGGCCCCTGCCTATCTCTCCAGGTTTTTCTGGAACTACCAGGACCCTCGCCATTCTCTCAGCTCCAGCCAATATGGCCTTCTCTCAATTTAATGAATTCATCATGCTCCCTCTGACCACAGGGCCTTTGTTGATGCTGTTCCATCTGACTGCAATGCTTTTGCCATGAAAAAAATTGAAGAGGATACAAACAAATGGAAAGGCATCCCATGCTCATGGATCAGAAGAATTAATATTGTTAAAATGACAATACTACTCAAACCAATCTATGGATTCAATGCAATCCCTATCAAAACACCAATGACATTCTTCACAGAAATTTTAAAAAAAATTCTAAAATTTTCATGGAACCACAAAATACCCCAAACAGCCAAAGCAATCTCAAGCAAAAAGAACAAAGCAGGAGGTATCACACTTCCGGACCTCAAGATATACTACAAAGCTGTAGTAACCAAAACAGCATGGTACTGGCATAAAAACAGACACATAGACCAATGGAACAGAATCAAGAACCCAGAAACTAATCCACATATCTACAGCCAACTGATTTTTGACAAAGGTGCCAAGGACACTCACTGGGGAAAGGACAGTCTCTTCAATAAATGATGCTGGGGAAATGGGATATCCATACGCAGAAGAATGAAACTAGACCCCCACCTCTCACCCTATACAAAAATTGACTCAAAATGGATCAAAAGCATAAATGTAAGACCTGAAATAATAAAACTATTGGAAGAAAACATAGGAGAAATGCTTCAGGACATGAGTCTGAGAAAAGATTTTATGAATAAGACCTCCAAAGCACAGGCAACAAAAGTGAAAATAAACAAATGGGATTGTATCAAACTAAAACTCTTACACACAGCAAAGGAAACAATCAACAGGGTGAAAAAACAACATAACAGAGTGGGAGAAATAGTTGCAAACTATTCATCAAATGGAATTAATACCTAGAATATATGAGGAACTCGAACATCTCAATAGCAAAAAGCCAAACAATCTGATTTAAAAATGGGCAAATGATCTGAATAGATATTTCTGAAAAGAAGATATACAAATGACTGACAAATATATGAGAAAATGCTCAACATCATTGATCATCAGGGAAATGCAAATCAAAACCACAATGAGGTACCATCTCACCTCAGGTAGGATGGTTATTAACAAAATGACAAAAAATAACAAATGTTGGTGAAGATGTGGAGAAAAAGGGAACTTTTATACACCGTTGGTGAGAATGCAAACTAGTACAGCCACTGTGGAGAACAGTAGGGAAGTGCCTCAAAAAACCACAAATAGAACGACCATATGATCCAGCAGTCTCACTACTGGGAATTTAGACAAGGGAAAGGAAACCGTTGTATCAAAGAGACATCTATACCCCCATGTTAATTGCAGCACTATTCACAATAGCCAAGATAGGGAATCAGCTTGGTGTCCAACAACAGATGACTGGATAGAGAAATGTGGTACAGACACCGTGGAACACTATTCAGCCATAAAAAAGAATGAAATCCTGTCTTGTGCAGCAGCAGGGATGGACCTGGAAGATATTAAGTTAAATGAAATAAGCTAGGAACAGGAATGTCAAAAACCACATATTCTCACTCATATGTGGAAGTTAAAAAAGTTGATCTCGTAGAAGTAGAAAGGATATTAGAGGCTGGGAAGGGTGGGGGGAAGGGAAGATAGGGAGAGATTAGTCAAACGATACAAAATTATAGCTATGTAGAAGGAATAATTTCTAGTTTCCTATATTACTGTAGGGTGACTACAGTTGATAATATATCACATAGTTTCAAATAGCTAGAAGGAGGATACTGAACATTCCTAACGCAAAGAAATGAGGTGAATGTTTGGGATGATGGATATGCTAATTACTCTGATCTGATCACTATACATTATCTGTATTGAAATATCACATGTACTCCATGAATATGTACAATTATTTGTCAATTAAAAATTTTAAAAATGTATACAAAAAAATATTCTAAAGATGAGAAGCTTTGAGAAGATAATTCCTAGAGTGTTTCATCAGGTGACAGCGACGATCAAGGAGTTAAGAACAATACTCACAGTCCCAGGTGGACTTGCGTAGAACTTTTTCTAGAAAGCTCCGGGTGTTCCTTTGTTCTTTTTCTGGGGTCCTCACAATAAGCCCATGTGTCCTCCAGCTTCCTGTCAGGATCAAGCACTTCCAGCACCTTTAGTAAGAGCTACAAACAGAAAATAGCTTTAGCAAAAATATGCTGAAAAAGAGGGGTCCCTATTCTACGACAAAATAGACCAACTTGCCCTGCGCTTTTCTTTTCCAGTCCATCAATGCTGTTCATCAATTTCTATGTTAATTCTGTGCTGGGTACTGGATGGGTTTGAGCCATGATCCCAAAGACACAATCCAGAACACCCTGAATGTTGAAATCCTGAAATATCACAATCCCTATCATCCAAAATCCCCAAAATCGCAATCCCAAAAGTATAATTCTGGAAAAAAAATTTTAAATTCTTCAAAAGACATTCATTTACATTTTAAAAGGGGATTTATTTGAGAAACATGTAAAAACATGGCAGAAACCTTCATAGGCCACTTTACGCAAGGAAGTAGGCGATAATAACATACCTGTTTTTGCAAGCACAAACACTCAGGCATCGTATTGATAGCGACAGTCACATGGGCATGGCAGTTACGAGCAGGCAAACTATAGTCATAAAGCAACAGGTCGAAAAGCAAAATGTATGAACACACATCATTGTGTCTGGTGATTGTGTGCGCCCAGCTTTATAACTGTAGTCATCTGAAATACAATACTGAGCAACCTAAGTCTTTCCATGAAATCAATCGAAAACCGTAGGTCACAGCTCATAGTCACCCAAAGAACTGTGATCTCAAGAAATTTTATCTTTCACAAATGCAGACGTACAAAAAGGACATTTGTTGAGGAAGTTCCAGTGTTTTATGTACACCCATAGTGCTTATTTGCAAAGTCAATGTTATGATAATGCACTTTCATGGAGTCAAATTTGCCAAAAATGTAATAAAACAAATTAGGACGCTCTAAAAGTCTTTAGGCAATTTATACCTCCAGTATTGGAAATGATGCAAAGATAAAATACATAGCATAGTGAATTGTTAAAAAAAAATGCTGACAATTTAAAGTAGTGGGGGGAAGATCTAAAAAAAGAAAAAAACAAAAATAACTAAAAAGAAGACTCAACATATGAAAAAGTGTATTACAGGGATAGATTACGGGCAATTCCACCGACGTAGTCCGTAAGAACCGGCCAGCTTTCACAATCATTAACTATATTTTGAAATCTTGCATCATGATGAATAGCTGGTTTTTTTTTTTTCTTTAGGGCATGGGTCTACTTGGAGAATATATTCACTCTCTACACGGCACTGCTCTTTTTGAAATTCTTCTGTGATCCAACACACACACCAACATAAGCATTCCCTATTAAATTTTCCCATCTTCTGTGCCGTGCTTCTGTGCTGTTTTGGGTACATGGAAATCCACCCACGTACATTCATATACAGAAGAAAAATTTAGCAGAAACAATACTGGTGATCAAACAGCAACACTGTTGCTTGTCTTCTTATCCTACTGTGCACATAATTATTTTTGAACCATTCAGTAACTTCACTGGCTTCTTCAGGAAAATGCAGCTTGAATTCACTAAAAGCTCCTGGAATTTCATCCGCGGGAAGGAATGCCAAAGCAGATGAATGATGCACTTTTAAACTGAGGTTTTTCATCATCACTGTATCATGTGGCCAATCCACTTTTCTGAATTTTCCACCAAATGCAATGGGCTGAATGGAAAAACAAACCTTACCGATCACACCACAAAATTCACTTTGAGAAGCTTTGGTGGCACCTAATTCCACGTCCGTCATTGTGGTTTGGGGATTCAATTGAAATTCGTCTTTTTCTGCAAAGTCCACCACGTCTTCAAATAAGCGTTTATAAAGTGCTTCACTTTTTTCAGTCATTAATACATAAATGAATGGATAAGTTCTAGAATTTTTGGATCCAACAAGGGAATGAATTGTATAAAGTTGATTTAAAAAATGGGACAGTTTTGATAGTACCATCCATTAGCCAAAGTAAAGCACGTGCAGGTTTTTCTGTTAGATCGAGTGGTAAATACAAGAAGCCTAGGCCGGGCGTGGTGGCTCACGCATGTAATCCTAGCACTCTGGGTGGCCGAGGTGGGAGGACTGCTTGAAGTCAGGAGTTCAAGAACAGCCTGAGCAAGAGTGAGACCCCGTCTCTACTAAAAATAGAAAGAATTAGCTGGCCATCATGGCACGTGCCTGTAGTCCCAGCTACTCGGGAGGCTGAGGCAGGAGGATCGCTTGAGACCAGGAGTTTCAGGTTGCTGTGAGCTAGGCTGACGCCAAGGCACTCTAGTCCAGGTGAGAGAGCGAGACTCCCTCTCAAAAGAAAAATAAAAAAGAAGTCTATGTTCTTTGACGGTCAAATCCCCAGCCAAGAACAGTTCACCGTCTAACACGTTTTGTAACACTGGAGGAACCTCTATGTTAGCAAGTGTCTTTGGTTAAGAAGGTCACTGAGCTTGTTGAATTCTTTCATTCTCTGATGAAGGGCATCATACGCTTCGAGGCAAGCATGACGTTGTATCTGAAGGGGCAGAAGTTGCACACGATGAAATAATCTGGCAGGCGAGATTCCTTGTATCTTTTGTCTACATTTTCCCTTCTGTGATCTTTGAAATACTCAAGGATTGAGGGCAAATCTTCTCCCTGCTAGTCCACACAATCTCCTTAAATCATACTTAATTTCCAAATAAATATACTAATAAGGTAATAGTCCACCTAACATGATGCAACTAACACGATGCAACCGTCCTGCGCATGACCGAAAACACGCTGATGCCTTCCCCAAATTTCAGCTTTCAGGACTTCAGCAGTTCGCATTTTAAAAGGTGAAAGATTTATACGATCTGAAGGGAAACCAGAGTATAACAATTGGGATTTGACTCTTTCAGGATTGTGATTTTCAAGATTTTGGACTTTGGGGATTTCGATCTTTCAGGATCTCAACATTCGGGATCATGGTGCTGGGGGCTGCATCTTTCAGGATTACGGTCGCACCGCTGTGGACAGACCTCCGTCCCCGCGATGTTAGGTACACAGCCGTCGTGCTGACATTCCTCTTCCTCTAGATGGAACACGCCTCTGGGCTGCCTAGTCCCCAAATGCCCCACTGAGTGAAGCGCCTCTAAAGTCTTCCTGTGACTTTTGAAAGCCCAGCATCCATTCGTCCTCCCGTGAATGACAGTGTCTGGATTTGTCTTTGGAAAACCACCGCTGTCTCCACTCTCAGCCCACAGGGTCCGAACTGGCCTGACCCCGCCCTCGCTCCACAGGCAACCACGGTGACCGGTTTAGGGATAGGTGCACGACCCAACTTGGACCCGGGAAAACTAGGCTATGGAATTGTATCGGGATCATGTGAAAGAGGTGTTCTTTTTCTACCGGGGTTGCTAAGTGGGTAGAATTTAAATCTGAAGCTGCTGGTGGCCACCTTAGCACAATGAGAGATCCTGCCTCGGAAAGAAGCCAGCACACCTAGCTGGGATGTCACACGTGGAAATAAGAGCCACGATCCCAAGCCACGTCCACGTGCTGTTTGAGGTGCATAGAACAATCTCCTTGTCGTGGAGTCAGAAGCTCTGGCCTGCCGGAGGCCATGAAGGAAAGGCCCAGGGAGAAATAACTGATCGGCAATACTAGTTGTCCTGTCTGCAGACGTCTCTGCCGCTGATCATTTATTTATTCACTCATTCAAAAAGCTCTATTGAGAGTCTACCACGTGCCAGGCATTGGTGGCACACACAGACAGATACAGTTCCTGCCACTGCAGAGCTTTTATTGCAGTGAGGAGCCCAGCAGTGACAGGCGCCATGATGAAGAATGGAGCGTGGTGGGGAGAGAGAACGAAGATGGAAGGGAAATGCTGCTTTGCATGGGCCTCTCCCATCAGGAGACATTTGAGCAAAGATCTGAGGGAGGTGAAGGAGTGAGCCGAGCAGCCAGCTGGGGCAGGTGCTCCAGGCACGACAGAGAGACTTAACTGGACATGCTCGTACTGTCCACGGAACAGCCTGGGGCCAGAGTGGCTGGAGCGGAGTGAGTGAGGGCAGAGGAGCAGGGGTGAGGTTGGAGCAGGAGCAGAGTGGGGTGGGGGTGGAGAGCAGAACACACAGGCCCTTTCAACCCCAGCGCGGGCTCTGGCTTTATCTGAGTGAGAAGGGGCCACTGAAGGGCTTTGAGCGGAGAACCATCTTTCTGAACCACCGTCACGCTCTCTGCGCAGGGGGCGGGCTGCAGGGGTGGGGATGAGGGAGCAGCCACCGCTACTTCCCCACCCAACTTCCATTCTGCCCTTTTCCCTTCAGTCTAACAGAACCCGGGTTGTGTTCCAGGCTGCAATGGCAGCTAAGAAACTCAATTTTCTAGACTCCCTAGCAGCGAGGAGCGGTCAGATGAAAGAGATGTTTACTGGGAAAGGTATTTTTTTCCTAACTAAAGAGTCAACTGGCACACGCCCTGGAACATTTGCTGCTTCCCTTTTCTAGTCTGAAAGACAGATCAAAGCCTTAGGTGAGAAGCCAATCAGAGACACAAAGGCAAGAGACAAGCGCGAAGGCCTTGGAGCTAGAAGTCAGGAGAGGCTGGCACACCAGTGACGGTGACGTAGCACAGCTGTGCCCTGGCCTAGCCGCGACAGTTTGGGGGTTTTCCCCGTGACCTTTCGGCTCTGGAAAGCATTCTGTCCATCTGTTAGTAAGTGCTTAAGGACTCCTCCTAACACCAGGCCACAGGGACAGAAATAAGACTGGACAATTCCCTTCCACTGTTTCCTCCCTGAAAAAGCCCCGTGCAGAGTAGAGTAGACTGGTAGAACGTGCAGGGAAAAGAAGCCAGCGTCTCTGGTTTGCTGCGCCTTCGTAAGCTGAAGGGCTTCACAGGAAGCAAAGGCGCAGCACTTGCCCCTTCCTTCCTGGGGGTGAGGGAGGAAGGCTGCTCTGAGCCCCACGAGAACCTTCACCCTGAAGGAGACATTCTTCTCTCCCTCTTGTAACATGTCACCTTCTCTCCCCAGACTATTTTCAAGGCCCCAGTGAAGCCCCTCCCATAAACCCTGGGACAGGTCACCTCTGCAGGCATGGCTTCTTCCAGACTCCGGGAGCCGGCCAAGGGGTGCGAGGCCAGGCGGGCCTCCACGTCCTCCAGGAAAGCCTGTCGAGCCCGCTGGGCTGGCGACAGCTTGGAAAACAGGGCTGCGTCCTTGGGGGGCTTGTTTTGCCTCCTCTTTGGGGCTGGCTGGGGAGCTCTGTGATGAATCCAGGGCAGGAAGTCCTGCTCGGGTCCCCGCGTGATCAGACCGTGGCAAGGCGGGCAGCCTCTCCTGAAGTCGTCCAGCCCCTTCCGCACGAACACCCACCGCCGGCTGTTCAGGGAGGTGGGGAGCTTCGGCCTGTTCTTGTGCTTCATGAAGCACTTGGAAGGCAGATTCTCTTTGTACCTAGAAGACAGCACGGCCAGTCATACGGATCGCAGGACTAAGGTGGGAGAAGGAGCTCGTAAGGGGCCTGGGCTCCACCTTTTTGGGGGAGGGGAGAGAGGAAGAGGGATTTGCAGGGAGTTAGCTACGCTCCCAGCAAAAAATCGGGTCCCTTAGGCAGGGGTCGTCGCAAAGGATAAGAAAATAATAGAAAATGGAAAATAATAGAAATAAAAGAATACACAGAGATGAAGGTATAGTTTTATAGATTTATAAAGATAAAAGGCAAAGTGGGGGGACTCGGGGGTCCTTATGATATCCCCGTCAATTGTAAGGCCCAGTATAAAGTTTCGCATGCGTATTTATAGGTACAGTGATTGGTCGCCAGAGGTAACAGATTTACATAGTAACAGGTAGTTCATTTTGGGTTAAAAGTATTTCAAAAGGCTTCTATAGATCCCTTAACTAACTCTGGTTACACAGTCTTTCAAGGACAAGCTTCTAAGTCCTAAGACAAAGCTATCACTTAACAGAAGGGTTAAACAGAGATAGTGGCTCCATATTTCCTTATCTAGTTATTGCAGATAGAGACAGGTCCTCAGAAGTCAAGCAGGAACTGTCCCTTGGGCTAACTGTTTTTAGCCGCAGGTATCTGTCTCTGGGCGGACACTCTTTGACCAGCTCTCATCCCATGGTTCCATGTAGACCTTGCTTTGTCCTTCAAAGCAGGTGAGAATCACGGGGTGGAGACCACAGCGTCACCTTGGAAAGCAGCTGCTGCTGACCTTTGAGATGCCCTCCTGAGATGGAGCAGCTTCCGATATGCAAACTAACATGTTCACGTATTCTTTCAGGGCAGAGCCCTGCAAAACTCCTGACATCATTTCTATCTCTAAAATAGTAATATTAAGCGACAGGGATTCACCAGGAGAAGGCAGAGCTGATCATATTCCTATGATAGTTCATAGCACATATCACTGGTCTGCGTGAGACCCCTCTCCTGTTTTCTTTAGTTTATCCCCACAGCCCACTCTCATGGGTCTCCCTTGAATAGCGAAACCACTCTAATGGATTTGAAATATATCCTTTGTACATGTCCTCGAAAATCTGAATCGTCCTTTTGTGTGCATGCAGGTGTAATCCACATAGACGGTGTATTCTGTTTCTTGCTCCTCTACCAAGCACTGTATTTTAAACACCCATCCATGTCACTACGTGTAAGTTCGGTCCATTGTTCCAACTGTTGCCACCACGTCTCATCTCTCCCTTCTCTTCGTGAAGGACACTCCAGTTGCTGCCTTTCTCGGGGACCCTCTCTTTTCACTAAAGGGACACAGTGCAATGGAGTAGGAAGAACCTGGATCCCAGTGACAACCGAACCCCCAACTAGCTGAACAACCTCTGTGGGTTCCCCCCTAAACTCAGGGGCTCAGAGATTGCAAAATAGTAGTCCATGGGCTACATCAGGCCCATAAAGATCATTTGGTCTTCTTCGTGTTGCTTTGTTTGTTTGTTTTTCGAGCCAAGGTTGCCCAGGCTAAAGTGCAATGGCAGGATGACAGCTCACTACAACCTCAAACTCTTGGGCTCAAGTGATCCTCCTGCCTCAGCTGCCTGCGCCACCACACCCGGCTAATTTTTCTATATTTTGTAGAGATGGGGTCTCACCCTTGCTCAGGTTGGTCTTGAAACTCCTGGCTTCAAGTGATCCTCCCGCCTTAGCCTTCAAAAGTGCTAGGATTACAGGCATGAGTCACCACCCCAGCCCTTCTTCGTGTTTTAATAAGGATCATGCTGGTTAACATAAATTGAAAATTTTCAGTAAAACAGCCACTGTTGTAAATGCTTCAAACATATCAACATATTTAAATCTCGTAACAACCCTATGAAGTAGGTACTAATATTATTCCCATTTACAGATAAGAAAATTGAGCACAAAGAAGTTAAAAACAAACACTTATCAAAGGTCACACGGCTAGTAAGTGGCAGAGCTGGGGTGTAAACCTTGGTAGTGCGGCTGCAGAGAAAGGTGTTGCTCACTATACTGAGGTTCTGGCATATAAAAGTGTTCACATTAGTAACCTGCAACTCTAGCTCCTCTTGAAAAATCAGATTTGTCAAGATCTGGGCCCCACCTTCCCATGGAGCCACAGCTGGTGTAATGGCTGCCACCATAGACAGACCATCCACAACCTCCACCGCTCCCTACGGCCTTGCGTCCGCTGCTTCCCCGGCTTCCTGAGTAGTTAGAGCATGAAGGTGAGATGGCAGAGACAGATGGACAAATAGAAAGGAAAATGAAAGCAGCTCCTGAATAACCCAGCACAACCGACCAACGCCAAAGCCCGGACTTGGATATGAGCACCCCACTATCCTCACGCATCACGACGCCTTGGGCAGGTGTTTCCAGAGTCTTGGGGTCCTTCCCTGAAGCCTCTTCTACTTTCAGACCCTTTTCATCTCTAAGGACTCTTTACACCAAACCTATTCTTTGTTGCACCCATAGCCACAAAGCATTTTTAAGAGATTCCAGCTTGATACCTATTCTTTTCTAGTACATTCTGGAAATGTCTTGCTTGATATGTACGTGTATACATGTGTGTTTCATGGGCTTTACCTAGCTCTACTGTGAAAATCTAGATGAAAGGACACAAAAAGATGAGTTTGCAAAAAGTTGCTCTCTGCATTTAATAAATCACTCTTAAATAGCTAAATGGCAGAAGGGTGATGAAATTACATCTAATCTTGAGATTGATGAGCCGTTCACACAACCTATTAGCAAGAACCCTCCATATCATTAAACACTGTCACAAAGCTCATCTTCTGCACATTTACACCTAACTCAAACATCCCAGCACAGCACAAAATCAAATGTGATAATCAACATTTTTGTTTAAGCACAGCCACACAACTCAAACCGTGGAATGTATGGCAGCCAGCGCAAGCCTCGTAGAATGCTCAAACCGGCAGAAACCCTGAAAGAAATCTAATCCACCTTCCTTACCTGCCAACGAGGAAACTGAGTTCCTAGAGGAGAGAGGGGCAACCAGTGCAGAGAGAGGCTTTCCTGTACCCCGCTGGCCTGTGACAGATAATGAGGCACCTCTTTGCATTTTGTTACATTCATGAAAAATCTTGCCATAAAACTGAAATTTTTTCTAAATGTTTACCATTTTCATAGACACCAGTACATGACATATGGATATTTCCCTCTTTAAAGAGTTGTGAAGGGGTACTGGCCATTTAGCCTAAAGAAATGAAAAATTATGTTCTCACAAAAACTCATACGCGAATGTTGACAGCGGCTTTCTACGTGATAGCCCCAAACTGGAAACAACCTCAAGTCCTCCAGCAGGTGAGTGGACAAACTGTGGGGCATCCTGAGCCAGGAGCATTCCCAGGGACAAAAATGAACAGACCACTGATACACACAGCAACTGTGATGGGTCTCAAGAGCTTTATGATGAGTGAAAAAGAGCCGGGGTCAAAAGGTTCTATACTGTATTATTCTATTTATCTGACATTCTCAAAAGAAGCAAATTATAGAAATGGAGAACAGATGAGTGGCTGCCAAAGGTTGGGGGTGGGAAGAGGAGTGACGGTAAAAGGGCAGCACAAAGTGGTTCTGTCTTTTGATGTATACAGGTGACAAAATTTTACAGAACAATATATACACACACGTGTGCAATTAAGAACTGACGTGTCGCTCCATGAATTAGTATTAAACGTGTTTTGGGACAGAATTTGTCTAAAGAGTTTT